TGAGGAGAAAATATTCAATTAATCGCCTCGCAGTTCCGCTCATTCGGCGAGGTGCGCATGAACACATTTATACATACAGGTGCGCAAATGTATATGCGTATGCTGCGCTGCGCGGACACGCGCGCATGTGTACGTGATATTAATTGCATCGCTACCAAATATTACACTCGTGATCATACAGACAGGAACGTATATACATCCGCATGCACATGATGGCTTCGATAACTGTGTATGTGTGTATATAGTTGTGTGCACGACCCGTGTGCATATGTATTCTCGTTAACATCGCCGTAATCGCCATCATGGCGTCGGGGGCAGTCTCGAAAACCTGCTCGCGTTTTATGACGGCGTCTCGAAATAGATTTTGAGGCGCCCCTCGGGTCGGGGGGTGTTTCGTTTTCTCGGTCCGCATTTTTAGGGCGGCTCGTGTCATTAAGAAACCGAGCCGCCTGATTCAAGATTTTCGAGGCGCCTCGTTCGCGAGGGCAGAAGCGCACAAGTCAGAGGTCAACTGTTCGACCAAGTCTTTTAACCTCCGACTTTTGGCGGAGGGAAGCCCTTGCAGGCAAGGCCAACCTACCCACCTCAAACCAGGGTTGGAAGTGGGTAGCTTTGCCTCCCCCCCCCGCCGGGCGGCCCCTCTCTCTCCTCCTCTTTCGCAGTCGTCTTCCTCGGCGCCTCTTTCCCAATGCGTTTCATGCCTTGCTCCTCTTCCTCCCCCTCCTCTTCCTCGCTCCGAGCCGCGAGCGGTTAGGAAACCATGTTCCTTATTCCCGAGAATTAGGGGCACAATTTTTTTGACCCCCCCGAATTAGGAACGCCCCCCAGAATTAGGAACGCCAGGGTAAACCATCGTCATCACCATGCAATCATCAGCATGGTCGTCATCGGTAGCGCCGTCACCATCATCATCGGCATCAACCATGTCAGAATGCATCAGAGTACGATTGTGACTTGAATATTGTCTCTTTGATTGGGGCGTGCCCAAAGTCGGGCGTTTCGTTTCCTTGGTCTCGCGAGTATGTTCGAAACGCAGAAGATGTCGAAACCAAGTCGCCCGCCCGCCTCTCACTCTTACCCGCAACTGCGGACGCCCCTCACTCTGATCCGCAGCTGCGGGCGCGTTCTTATACTTCCCCGCGTGTGCCGACGAGAAAAACGGGGGAAGAGGGCATTGAGAAACTAATTTTCGATTCCCGCGGCGCGTTGCGCATGTGCCCAGACATTGGCCGATTCCTGTGGCACGAGTCCTTTATGGTTTACGTGTGGCCCCGTAGATTGCCCATATCCTGCGGCGCGCACCCCGCGCAATACTTCAACGCCGTTGTCAGCCAGCCAGGGGAGTCGACCCGCCAGCGCCTCCATCCGTATTCCACCCCCGGAGCGGGCCGCGCCTGCCGCCGGAGACGCCGGCGCCGCCGGTGGGAATCGCGTGGGGCGATCTGCGGCGAGCGCCGAAAGATTTCGCATGCGCCAGCTCGGGCGGCTCTCCGACGAGGCGCTGGAGGCTCTCATAGGCCCCTTTCGGACTGAGGAGACGCCCTCCCTCCCCGTGCTCAGACGCATGTCATCGTCGCGACGTTGCCCCCGAAGAAAACATATTGGGGCGCGCCGCCCCGACGGGGCATGTTCGCGGCCCCTTCTGGCCACGGGAGCGCCCCGGGCGCCCTTCTGGCGGTCTCCCGAGAACAGGCCCGCGAGGCACCGCGGTGCGCAGCTGGCAAAGTCATGGAGGCGTCGGACACGGTTTGGCGCCTATCTCTGTTTGCGAGGGTCGTTGTTGCCAGGGGTCGCTCGCCCGCCGCTTTTGATATGAGTTTTCCACCGAATAATGCGTGTCTGAGCGCGCGTTTGAGAGGTGCGACGAGATCGCGTTCCTCGCGGCAGCCGCCGGGCCGGCTTGCCGCGGGCGTCGAGCTCCACGGCGCGTCAGTCTGCGAGGCGCGACTCGCGCCCCCTTGTTTCTGCGTCGAGGGGGGCGCGGCTGGACGGCCCATTCGCCGGCGATCTCGCCCGAGTCAATTCTTTGGAAGGATTCACTGGAACCGTCTGTGAGTGGATGCTGTCGCGGAGAAACTGATAAGGCCGCGTTTCTGGCGTCCCACGACGGATATGGGGTGGGGCATCCAGAAGCTCATCGGCCTGGCCCCGTCGGGCCAAGTCGCCCGCTGGCGGCCGGGGCGCGGGCGGCGGCGCCGGGGCGCCCTTGGGCGCCGAGGTTGCGCGGGAAGAAGGCGCTGGCCAGAGCGCGGGCGCCAGGCATGCTTCCCCGAACACATCGGCAGGCGAGTTCCTTCGGTTCGGGCGTCAGCCCCCACCCCCGCGCCGATGCTCGCGCCGCGGAGATTCGCTGGGTCTCCAACGCCGATCTGCTCCGCCCCCGCCGCTCCGCCGCCCCGTGGTCGAGCCCGGCGCTGGCGGCAGGTCATCCATTATTGTGCCGCGCTCCGAGAGCTGTCCGACCTGGCTGGCGCAGGTCGCTCCCGTCGTTCGATGGCGCAAGGAAGTGCGGCGCGCCAGGCTGCAGGTTCCACCATCCCTTGGAAGGTTGTCAGCGACTCCTGGCCGGACGTTCCCAGGAAGCCCCCCAGGATTTGGAGGTCGGGCCCGGGCCTTGTTTCCGCGGCCAGGAAATCATTGAAACGTCTGGGGTAGGAGATGCCAGGGTGCGCTTCGCTCATCGCTGGCCTGGGATGCATTGTCGTTGATTTCGCAGATCCCCGCCATGCCGCGCAAATTGTTGCGCGACGCGGATGCTCGCATGCTAGATATGCAGGTAGGGGAGATGGCTGCGTTCCTTCAGAGGGTGCGTTTTGACGTCGCCTCCAAGCGCATGGCCTCGAAAAGCAATGCCCCCTTGGGGACGGGGCCCCAGGGGGCTGCCTGCGCGGGGGCGGGGGGGTGGGGGGTGGGCGGGGGGCCGAGCCCGGCTCAGTGTCGGATCGATGCCAACGCTTTGAGATTTGCCCGCAAGGACGCGACATGGGCGACGCTCATTTGCACGGGACTTGGAAGGGCCCGCAGTTGTAGGAGGAACGAATCGAATTCGTGGTGCGAGCTTGGCGCCCCCATTAATAATCGCAATGCGCCGATCGCTGCAACGAGAGGTGCATTGCCCCACCCTGGCGACTACTACCCCGCCCCTCTGTCGGAAGGGCCCGAGTCTGTGCAGTGGTTCGTTGGCCCCCCGATCCGCGTGCGATTGGACGGGGTGTATTTGTCGATGGCTCGTGCACCCGACGCGCCATCAAGGCCCTTTTCCGGGGCGACCTAATATAAAAATGTGAGGTGCCCGAGGATGGGGCCATGCAGCGTGAGATGCAATGTCTTGCGCCCGCCCCTTGTAGGCATACCTTTTTTCGGCGGGCCCCTGCGCGCGTTCGCGAGGCGCCATCTTTTTTTTTCGAATGCCTTAACGTCCTCAAGCGAGTCGGGGGCCCTCCGGAGGATCAAGGCTGGTTCAAGATTTTTTGCATGTAGGGCACATCCAACAGGTTCGGTTCGACCCGACGATTTCTCATGTCAAGGGCCCCGCAATCATCAAAACCCATTCGCTGGTTCAGGGGCCCGACCTTTCTGATGGGGAATTTTCCATCGTGCTAGGGATAACGCGGCTGATTGAGGCGCTCAGTTGGCCGCGCGCTCTTCACCCGAGTGACCCAAACGCCATCATCCATATCCGACATTATTGTCAACGGTTTGTGTATCCTTGCCATGTGTCTACTCGGCCAATTCGCACCAGTGAAAGCGGACGGCGAAGTCGAACCCATCCCACCGTTCACAACAGCTAGAGCCTCCAGGCCCTTGATGTTGGTTTGTTCGAATCGGAGGCATGTGGCGGTGCGATGGTAGCTGTCGTTCCACGCAAAGGCCCGCTATACCAAGGAACCCATGGGAGCGCCGAGGCCCCGTGCTGAGTGGTGTTTTGGGGAGGTTCAGGCCCTGGACGTTGAGGCGGTCGCAGCCAGCCATAACTGTTTAATGATGTTGTTTTTTTGGCATGCGCAGTACGTTACGGCATACGTTTCGATTGTTTCGTTTGCTCAGTCATACAACGTTGGTTTGAAGGCGCGCTTTGGAGAGGCATCATCTTATGCACGACAAGTACAAACTTGGGATCCCTTGTGATTCAACGCCCCTTGGGGCCCCCATCGAAAGGCCCAGGCAACGAGTTTTGCTTCTCTGACGTTTTCTGTGTGTCTCCCTCTTTCTTTCTTAGTTTTTTTTTGTCGTTATCTCTCTTTCTCTCTCTTTCTATCCCTCTTTGCGGCAGGAGAAGCAAGAGCTTGCGTTTCAAGCCAAACTTGACTCTCTACGCGCAGTTGTCGCAAGCGCCCCGTAGGCATCTGGCCACGCCAGCGCCGCGCAGGAGGGACAGCTCAGACAGGGCTGAGGGTCGCCCCGCCTCAGTCCTTTCCGAGGTTGCAGGTTTTCCGCCCTCCTATCTCGTAAGACTCGCTTCCCGGGGAACTTCCCATGGTGTCCGCCACAATTGTGGGTCGAAGTGTCTAGTTGGGCCTGATCCTTGGTCGTTGTGGTTGGAGCCCCCTGGCAAAACAAAACGATCTAAAGGGTTTCAGTGGCGCCGGACGCGCGGTTTCTCAGGCAGTTTGACGGTCCTCCTTGGACCGTCTCACATTTCATTTTTGCTTATGGGAATGTATGTGGCCGGTCTGGGGGGCCGTTCGGGCAGTCTTGGGATTTCGGAAGCCCGAAAAGGTGAGAAAGTGAAGCACGTATTAGCCGGACGCCTTCGTTCTCAGCCTCCTGAGGCCATCTCGATGTTTGTGAGGATCTTTTGGCGTGTGGGAGCCCTAAGGCTCGGAGGCGCGCTGATAAGCTCTAAGTCTAGGACGCCACGGGGAGTGTATCTCGATGCTCCGAGGGCCCCCCCAGGGCTCGGAGGCGCGCTGATGAGCTAAGGCCCCACCCCAACACAGGTTTCCCTGTAGCAGGATGTCGGATTCCGGGAGGGAGGGAGAAAACCAGACGCCTCTCAGCCCCGGCATGCGGGGGTCATCGGACTTTGTTTACGTCCCGATCAACTTCACTCAGATGCTCGGTGTCGGATATGCGTTCGTGAATCTTACCTCTCAGGAGAAAGCGGAGGAGTTCATACTAGCCTTTGAGGGCTTTGATGGCTGGGAATCGTCGTTCTCCAAAACGGCATGCGCTATGCATTGGAGCGTGTGCCAGGGCCTCGACGAGAACATCAGCCGCTATCGGAACAGCCCCTTGATGTGCGATGACGTGCCGACGTTCTACAAGCCAGTCCTCTTGAAGGACGGCGTGCGAATCGAGTTCCCCAAGCCGACCAAGCAGTTGCGCACTTTGAGGCGCCGCAAGGCTAAGCAGCAGGAGGGCGAGGGCGAGGGCGAGGAGTGAACGGACAGGAATACAGTACTTACGTAGGTCGCGCGCGTACGCTTAGTTTTTCGTGGCTCTTCTCTGTGGTGCTCCTCTCGTTTTCCATTATCCTTGATCCTCTGCGATCAACCTAGTGACCTTGCTAGTGGGTATGCAGTTGCGCTGTCGCGCGCATCCGCCAGCGCGCTTGCAGAAGCTGCACAGCAACGCTGCGGGATTGCAAGGCCGCAGCGTTGCATCGTTGGAGTGTTGCATCTTCGTAGCCTCGTGGTTGCCTCTCTGGGGCCTTTCTTATGCCTCGTCGCTGTCTCGTCTGATTACCTCGGTTGCCACATGTTGATTCCCGTGGTTTTGGGACAGGCTTGGTGGGGTTGGGGAGGGGACTTAAGACGTCATGCGCTGTATGCAGTCTGTCCTGGGGTGGGTGGGGTGTGTGGGGGTATGGTTTTCGATGGTCGTCCAGTGAGTCTCCAGATAATGCAATAACCTGTTAGTTCAAACCCTCCTGTGTTTTTGGGTTCTTGTCCCCCATATCCTCAGTTTCGGCGTCTTGCTATTCCCCATCTAGAAAATAGTGTCTGGGGCGCATCCTTCATCCCTCCTCTTCCCTTCTCCCTCTCCTCATTCACACTCAGACTCACTCACAATCAGACTCGATCAAATCCAGACTCACTCACGCTTATAGCCACCCGTACTCAGACTCGACACACATATTCATATGCGCTCGTACTCAGACACACTCTGACTCAGATACACTTACACTCATATCCACTTCTCGCGATCAGACTCGTACACAATCAGAGTTACGCACACCTAGACTCACTCACACTCAGACTCACTCACACCGACCACTCATAGTCAGGCTCGTCTCACACTCAATTTGTGAGGGTGTCTCGAGCGAGGCGCTGGCTTCAGCATGTCAAAGGAAAGCCACCTGAGGGTATTTTATGGGCCCGTTCGCGCCCAGAGTGTGGGGGTGTCTCTGGCGGTTTTCCTGTTTGGTTGCTTGGACTTCTTCGCTGTCAGAACATAGTGTGATGATGTCTTGAGCGAGGCGCTGGTTCCAGCAACCCAAGGGGGAGCCGCTAGGGGGAACTTTTAAGGGCCCGTTCGCCACCAGATTGTGGGGATGCCTCGGGCGGTTTGCCTGCTTGGTGCCTTGGGCTTCGGTGATGTCGGAGCAGATTGTGAGGATGTATTGAGCGAGGCGCTGGTTTCAGCACCCAAGGGCGGGGGCAGGGGCTCCGGGGCGACACAGAGTATTCACTGGCCCGTGCGCGCCCACATTGTAGGATGTCTGGGGCGGTGTCTTGTCTCGTTGCTTGGAGCTCTTTCCAGAACCCATACTGGTGAGGACGTCTCGGGCGAGGCCCTGGCTTCAGCACCCAAGTGGGAACCGCCAGGGGGTGTTGCACGGGCCCACCCGTTCGCATCCAGACTGCGGGAATATCTCGAGCGAGGCGCTCCTTTTGCGGCTGTGACTCCTTCTTTTCTGAGCAGACCGCGAGGATGTTTCTAGCCAGTCAGACGAAACGCTGGTTTAGGTACCCCCCCCCTCCCTCTCCCTCCCAGGCCCCAAGAACATCCCGATGTAGCAGGCACAGCATCTGGGCACTCCAAGGGGGAGCCGCCAGGGATCGTTCAGTCGCCACAGGCTAGGATTTTCTCCCGCTCAGACACAGGCGGGAGCGCCAGGAACTGAGATGCACATGTGGGGACCTCCGCGTCGAGCAGTCTTCTCCCCGCGGCGCCGCGCGCCTCCCCCTCCTCCCACTACCGCCCGCCCATCCTCTCCGCTCTGCCGCTGCTTCCGCGTCGCACACTGCATGTTGCGGTCGCCGCTGCGGTTGTGCTGCAGTGCTGCCCGGCTGCATGCTGTTCGACACACCGTTGACACGTGTCTGTGCCCCATGGGAGCTCCACACACGTCCTCGGTGCGGGCGCCCGCGTGCGGGCCCGCACCCATTTCGCCACTCCCTGACCCCCCACCCGGCCCCCACCCCCGCGGACCGTGCCCCACAGGGATGAGCTCCACCCACGACCTCGGCGATGGCGCCCGCACGCGGGCCCGCGCCCAAGTCGGCCCACCCCTCACGCGGCTCGTGCCCCACAGCGAGTTCCACCAGTGAGGGTGCCCGCATGCGGGCCCGCGCCCAGTTCGGCAAATTCCCCACACGCATCGTGCCCCATAGGGAGCTCCACCTAAGGTGCCAGTGGGCACGGGCACATGGTGGCCCCGCGCCCATTTCGGCACACATTCGCACACTCGCACACTCGCACACACACACACACACAACACACACACACACATACACACACTCTGGTTGTTTCGCTTCCCGGCCAGTTTCACATATTTCACGCAAGGGGGGAGGTACGGGCACCGTCGCGAGTACTTAGGTGGGACACGCGACACGCGACACGCGCACACACATATACACACGCACACACACACATACCCATACACACACGTACTTTTTGGCGTCACGGTCCCGCGCGCAGCGACGCACGGGAGTAAGTCAGGCAGTCGAATCCGCATGCACGCACACAAGCACACACACGCACACTTTCTATGTATTTATTTCTTTATCTCTCTCTCTCTTTCTCTCTCTCTCTCTCTCTCTCCTGTGTTCTTCTCTCTCTCTCTCTCTCTCTATATATATATATATCACACGCACACTTGTTTTGCGTCGCGGTCACGTGCGCAGCGACTCATGGGAGTCAGTCTGCCTGTAGAGTGCGCACGCACTCACACACACACACACACACCCACCCACCCACCCACACACACACACACACGCACGCACGCACACACAACACACACACACAACACACATTCTTTTTGGTGTCGCGGTCGCCCGCGCAGCGGCGCACGGAAATCTGCCAGCCAGTAGAATCCGCACGCACACAGTTTTTCGCATCGATGGCGAGTTTGCAGTGGGACGGTCGACCCGCCTCACGGATCATGCCCCATTGGGAGCTCCAAGTCAGCTCCGTCTCGCGGTGCGCAGCACTTGAGAGGGCCGCTCCCTGCTGCACTCGCAGTTCGTAGGGTGTGACCATTCGCCAGGCTAAGGGTCCAAGCATCCGCTGAGGGAAGGCACATGGGAGAGCTTCTCTATAAACTCGGGCCATCCTGACTTCCCGGCGCGCCAGGAAGCAGGGTCTGACCCCGTTTCTGAGGAATCGGATGATTCTGGCAGAGTGTGTGGAAACAGGCGCCAAAGCCCAAAGCTGCATCTTTGCATGCGAGGCCTTCGCCGAATCAGCCCCTGGGAGGACAGAAAGCCCGCCTTCTCACGTCGTTTCCAGAGCATTGTGCTATCCGCCAAGCCTGGCGACTCCCAGACGCAGGGCCCCCGAATCCAGGACACAGTCCGATGGGGCCAGGCCATGTCTGCAACGACGGAACGCTCTCAGAGCGTTCCAGAACGCTCCGAGAAGGCCGCGGCGCCCGCATGGAGGGGGACGGGGGGGGGCCTCTGGACCTCTGCTTAGTGCGACTGTTTGCAGCAGTGCGTCTTACGGGGGAGGCCTCACCTGCTCGAAACAGGCGCCAAAAACAACCACGGTCTACTCCATTGGGGGGGGGAGGGGGGTAGCGAGGGCCCGCGCCGATCGGCAAAACAATCAGTAAGAAAACGAGCACCATGCGCATCTCGCCCGCGCCCTTTCCCTGCACAGCAAAAAGCCTCCCTCCAGAGCCGCCGGATCTCAGAGATTCTCGATTCATCCTCACCCGAATTCATCCTCGTCCTAGCTTCGTGTCAGTACTACGAGAGAAGACTCTGACATTCCTACCCTGAGGAAGTGAAGAGTGGAGCATGCTTCGACACCCCTCGGCAGTTCCCTTGTGCGCACCGGTGTCTTCTTTTATCCAGAAGTCACTGTTCTCCAGGGGTCCCTGACGGCCCTGCGTTTCTGCGCGGGAGGTTTTCTCGCAAAACCGGCCCTTGGCCTGACTGGAGCGTCGCGGGGAGGCGGGACGGAGCAGGGCGTGGCCCGAGAGGGGCGCACGGCTCGGGAGGGCAATGGGCCAGCACGGTCCCCGCATACAGCAACAGCAAAAACTGGCCCAGGGGGGAGGGGGCGAGGGAGGGCGGAGGGAGGAGGGAGGAGGTGAGGCTTCAGCGGAGTAAGCTCACATGAGGGGAGGAGCAGGAGGAGGAGGAGGAGGAGGGGGAGGAGGACCAGCGTAAAACCACGAGTCATCGACGATGTTGAAATACAGCCTCCGTCCAAGTTCCCTCTTCGCATGCCCCTACAAGGGGACATTTCCACTGAGGGAACTGCCGTTGGGAAACAACCGTGTGAACACCTTGAAGCTTGCCAAAACACCATTACAGGACTTCAACGCCACGAGGCAACATGACTATACGTCTTGGCGATCCCGAATCGCGCCAAAACGCCGTTCCTGGCACTTCAACGCCGCGACTCAACGTAACTGTTGCGCCCTGGCAATCCTGAATCCTTCCAATTCGCCATCTTTGGTACGTTAAGCATGGGAACCATTGAAGTTCTTGCATATGGTCAAAACGAAAAGGAGCCGCTTTCAATCCGTGAAACTATTATTAATTTGTTTGAACGAATGTACACGGCGCAATGGCGAGAGCCACACATTGAAAACCACCCGCTCTCAACCCGTGAAGACCTTGCATTAGTGTAAGAATAATGTGCGCGGCGCTAGGGCGAGAGACACATTTTGAAAACCACCCGCCCTCAATACATGAAGCTCTTGCACGTTTTTAATGGAATGTGCGCGATGCTACGGCGAGGGCCTCATTTTGAACACCAGCCGCCCTCAATACGTGAAGCCCTTGCAATTGTTAAAGACGAATGTGCGCGGCGCTAAGGCGAGAGCCACTTGTTGAAATCCAACCGTCCTCAATCCGTCAAATCCTGGCAATGCTTTAAACGAATGTGCGCGGCGCTAAGGCGAGAGCCCCTCCCTCAGCACATGAAATCCTTGCTGCACTATTTTAACGAATGTGTGCGGCGCTAAGGCGAGGGCCTCATTTTGAGAACCCACCGCCCTCAATTCGCGAAACTCTTGCAATTGTTTACGCGACTTTGCGTGGCGCTCAGGCGAGAGCCGCCGTTGAAAACCACCCGCCCTCCATCTGTGAAGCTGTTGTCACTTTGCCGTCCTTTCGGCTGGTCCCAGTGTGCGACAGGAAGGAGTTACTTATAATGAAACGGGAGGAGGAGGAGGAGGAGGAGGAGGAGGAGGAGGAGGAGGAGGAGGAGGAGGCGCGCGCCAGGAGGCGCAAGAAACTGAGGCCACCAAGCGGGCTTCCCGGCACCACTTCTGGGGAACTTTCCTCCTCCCACTTCTCCTCCTATTGTGTTTGTTGCGCTGCGCCAGCAGAGGCTATCGGGCCGCCACGTCATGCCACTGGTGAGGAACCAAGGAAACCCGATTTGCCCTCCCTCCTCCCTTCCTCCTCCTCCTCCACCTCCTCCTCCTCCTCCTTCTCCTTCTCCTCCCATTCCTCCTCCTTCTCCTCCCATTTCTCCTCCTCCTCCTTCTCCTCTGGCCTCTCGGAACAACTCCCGATCAGCTGCGGAGCGGTCGGCCAGCACGACCCCCTGCGCCTCGGGCTTCATCGGGATCGAGGTCCTGCCAGGGTCTTGGTGGGCCGAGCGGTCCAGCAGATTGTGCGACAGCAGCTTAGCCGAGAGCCGTCGATGGCCGTGCTCTTGTCCCATCGAAAAATGTACCTGGTGCCGCATATGGATCGGTGTCTCCTCGTGGGGGGGCAGTGGTCAATGCTTGAGGGCAGGATGGTTAGAATCACCTTTGCAGGCTTGTCGGAGCGCCTCAGTTTGCCAGTTGCAGTCGTTATCGTCCTACCGTTTGGCAGGAGCACCATCAGTATCAAGAGCGGAAGTGGGAGGGAGGGAAGGTGGATGAGGAGACGAATGGGGGAGGGAGAAGGAGGAAGGGAGTAATGGATGGATATGTAGGGAGAGTGGGGGATGTAAGTTGGGGGAGAGCGGGAGGAAGGACCATGACGAGTGATGGCGAGGGAAGATACGTGAGAGACAGTTGGGGAAAGGAGGATCGATCTTCGACGGGGGAAGATTGATGTGGTTGGAGTACAAGTAGGGAGGAAATACAAACGAGAGTCCTGATCAGGACAGCGCGCTCATCCCCGCATGCCGTTGGCCCCCGAAGCCGATGTGAGCGCGGGCGACTCCAAACCCTGCCGACTAAATCGTTTGAGACAAAATGCCGCGGACAACGATTGCGTTTGAATCGCGGTGTGTTCTTCATCTGTATGTCTTCCATCGGCTTTCACATATTCCGGTCCGCGGGGAGCGCTAGAGAGGGGCCCAGCTATCAGCCGCGAGGGGAAACCTCCCGTCGGGCTTCCGTCGCCGGCGTCGGCACCACCTTTCCTCGATTGCCCATTGTCCATCATGCTACAGCCCAGACCCTCGCCGCACGCATTTCTTCGGCACGTTGTACTCCGAGGGTGCGACGACCGTCAGCTCATCTCCGCCCATTGCGAGCATTTGCTGAAGGTCCGTCGGCCCAGTCGGGTGGCTAAAGTAGGCTGTCCAGTCCCCTGTGCAACGACGGCGCAGCCGTTGTCGCCAGGCTCGGAGGTGGCTAGGTTACGTCCTGTCTGGCACACAACGCTACGCGTGAGGAGAAAGCCGGCCAACCTGAAACTGACCCCAGCGTTTCGCATCCCAGGGCTCCACATGCGCAGCCATGCCGGACGACTCCAGCTGCTCGTCAGCACTTGTGGCCACGCTGGCGCTTGCCTCTCAGGCCGCGTTGCCCACGGCCCAGCCCATGGGGAGGGTTGCCCGAGCTGCCGGCGGGTTGGACATGGCCACGCCGGAGGGCTCCTGAGGAGGCCCGCCGCCTTCTGAGACGGCCTTCTCCTTCTCACTTCCCCCCAGGCTCGCCGCCGACCCTCACCCGTGTGCACGAACACGATGGGCAGAAACATCCACGTGCCCAAAGTCTTCCTCAAACTCGCCCTCGGCATCTGAGCCGCATCCGTGCTTGGGCACGGGATGGCCCGCACGTGCTTCGCGAGCCGTCCCGGCACGCCTGCCAGCCTCGCCCCTCGCAGGGCCTCCGTCCCCACAGAGCACGCGGCGGGCGTCGATCAGAGACATCGGATACAGTGGAAGTCCATGCCAAGAAACACCCTGCTCGCCTCCAGGCTGCCCTGGATTTCCTGGGTTTCGATGGTTTTGCTATGGAAGGCGCGACGTTCCCACTTCCTGGGGTCTCAGGGTTGGGTTTCTTGTGGAGACGTCTTGCGGTCGAGCTCCTACTGTACAAGCACGTCCCATGACGGGCATCGCCACATTCACAAGTTGCGCGCACTCTCTGTAGCGCTGCCAGACAGCCGTCGTAAAAAACCTTGCTCGTACCTCGCGCGGTGGCAATCTCCCAATTGAGGCTGCCCACCGCGGTGTTTTTGCCGCCGCGAACGCCGCCCTCATGCGGAGCACTGCGAATGCTGCGAGCAGCACGGCCAGTGTCGCGTACCAGAGTCGACCTTGCCCTGAATTCGGCGGCGAGCGAGGGGGGGCAGTGAGAAGGAGAAGGCCTTCTCAGAAGGCTCGAAAGTCCCCCAGCCTTCTGAGAAGTTTTCTAAGCCTTCCCCGAGGACCAAACAACTTCTCAGAAGGCGCGAGGGCTTCTGAGAAGTCCCGCCGCCTTCTGAGAAGGCCTTCTCATTCTCGTTTCCCCCTCGCTCGCCGCCGATGAATCGCCGCCAACACTAAAATGCTCCACGAGCACCTGCAGCGCTGTGGAGACACGGCCGGTGCCCATCACCGTCGTCTGTAGGAGCATCTGCCGCGCCCCCTTTGTGGTCGCGTTCTGAACGCCCTCGTTGGTCAGGGAGTCGTTCTTCAAACCGGGGCTGGACCTAAACGGTGCTTTGGTCATCTCGTGGGTCGTTTGGTGTTTCGGTTTGTCCTGCGTTCAAGGCGAAGCGAAGGCCAAACTAGGAAGAACAACAAACAAAACGAAAACGAACAACACCGTTTGGGTTCAGCCCTATTGGTCAGGGAGTCGTTCTTCAGACGTTCTCCATCAAGAACTCTTCGACCAGCCGCGCCACGTACGGCCGGGCCAGCGGGAGCGTGTGACTCGACGGGAATCCAAACGTCATACGCATCAATCTGCGGAGCTCCGCGCACCTGTCTTGGATCTGCGCTGTGCTTCCCCTGGCGGCGCCTCCAGCGCCGCACCCGGCGAATCCGGGCGCCGGTGCCGGGGCCCAGCGCCGAGCGAAGAACTACGCGCAGACCTCCGAAAAGCGATGTTGACGCCGTTGTTGGTTCTTCTATTGGCATTTGGCCCTGCTGCCCGCGACACCACACCCAGCATCCGTCCTCCCTGGCGAGACGCTGCTAGCGGAGCGGTCGTCGCTTTCGTAGTCCTCCCCTTGTGCTCTGTCGGGGTCATGACCACGCCCTTGAAGCCGCTGCGAGCACCTGGGCGACCAGAGCGAGAGAGAGAGAGAGAGACAGAGAGAGTGGGAGGATGGGATGGAGAGATACGAGGAGGGAGAGAGGGATGATTCAGAACAGGACGAACGACCGAGGAGGACGAGGATAACGACGAGGATTAGCAGGATCAGGAGAAACAGAGGAACGCGAGTAATTCGCGCGGGGAGAAGGACGACGAGGATTTGGACCATGATGATGATGAGGGATAGGTTGTAATGCAGGAAGATGGAGGAGGAGGAGGAGGAGGAGGAGGAGGGGAGGAGGAGGGGAGGGAGGCAGGGGGAACAGGAAGAGGACGAGTAAGGAGAGGATCAGGAGGGAGAAGGGGGATGCAGGGTGGAACCTCTGGAACACGAGGGGATGCAGGGACGAGGGCGGGGGGGAGGAGGCAGGAGAGGGCACGTATGTGGGGAGGGTGGACGAGGGGGGAGGAGAACACAGCCAGGGGGAAGAGAAGATGATTTCACGGGGGATGCGGAACGGGCGCGAGCGGATGAACACACGCATGATGCGGAGGAGCACACGCATGAGGAGCAGCTACGCCCCAGACGCCTCGACGTCTCCCTCGGGACCGGCCCTGCATCCCCACGGCCCCCGGGGGGCCCGGCAATCTGCGCCGTGAAGAAACGCCACGACGGGAGTCGTCGCCCCCCCTTCGGGCCGACTTAGCAGACAAGCGGGGCCGAGAGCCTCGGTGGTGAGTTCTGTGGATGATGTGATGCTCTCGCTGATGGGCCTGTTTTCCACCACCACCACCACCATAGGTTAGAGGGGTGAAGGAGGTGGAGGATGAGGAGGAGGAGGAGGAGGAGGAAGAAGAAGAGGGGGAGCAGGACCCCCTCCCCCCTCCAACTTGATGGTGGTGATGGTGGTGGAAAACAGGCCCATCTCTCGCAGCGTCGGACCCCCCCCGCGGCTCTCAACCAGTGGTGCAGAAGTCTGGCCTGCAGGGGTTCGGCAACGCGCAGAGGGGGGTAGGGGGAGGGGGGAGAGCGGACTTCGAGGCGGGAGGATATCTGGACAGGTCGTGGAGGGTGAGAGGGTCCGCCGCGTGCGTGAGGCCCCGGTGAGCCGCTGTAGGTGTGGCCACCCTCCGTTGCTTTAGTTTAATTCGTCGCGGCGTGCCCCGCTTTGACTGGACTCGACGCCGGCGCGCTCGCCCGCGGCCGCTGACTAAACAGTGTCTTCGCAATGCAGTCTTCAGGGTGCACTGCTAGCGTGCGCTAGCGCCTGGTAGTCGAAGGGACACCGCCCATCTAGCGACGACCAGCGACGACGAGGACCGACTTGGCGCAACACTGGCGCCGGCCAGCGTCGATCCCCGAGGGCCAGCAAGGTGGTATATGAGGCTCCCTTGCGTTGCTCGGGCCGAACGAGAAAGGGGGGACAGGGAAAGGGGGGGTCACGAAATCTGCTGGATGCAGCTGATTTCGGCCCCGCCGCCGGGCCCATTCCTCGGGCCATGGGCGCGCGCTGGCGCCTGGAGGTGCTGGGAAATCAGCTACGCGAGCTGATTCTCTACCCTACACTGTGCTATCCCCCCATTCCGTTCCCCCCGAGTTGCCACCGAAGGGGGAGGCGCACGGGAACCTCGGCAGCGGAGGTGGCCGCCCCGCTCCGCAGCGGCACCGCGCCAGGGCCCCGCCCCCGCCCCGCGCCGCGCGCCCGACCGGCCGGCCACCTTCGCGCCGGCGCGGCGCGGGCGGGCACGGCGCCGCCTCCTCTTGGAGTCGGCTGGGGGTCCGAGGTGGCCCGGCACTGGCGCGGGCCAGCAGGAAGGGGGGGGAGAGACCCGAGGTTCAGGGACCGAGGCAGTCCTTTCAAATTTTGGGCCTCGGGCGGCCGTTGTCGGGCCCTGGGGCCGTCGAGCACGGATCCGGATTGCAGAAAGCTCGCCGGAGGAACCCCAGAAGGGGTCGGGGACGGGTTTTGCACGGATTTGGCTTCATCCCTCCTTCTTGCCGATGCTCTGGGATCCCAACCAGCCAGTTCACGCCCCCTGGCTGCCTCCAAGCTTCCTCTCCTCGAGTAACAAAGCATTTCATGACCAGACACTTCTGGAGCTCCGCGCGGATTGCTCGGATCGGCGCGGGGCTCCCCCCGGCGGCGCCGCCCTTGGCGCGCTAGGGAGGGGGCTCCGCGCGCAACGGAGGGGGTGAGTCGCTGACCCAAGACATCTGCGCGGACCTCAGATCAGGCGATCGCAAACATGGATTAAGGGG